CCCCAAAACCCCAAAACCCCAAAACCCCAAAACCCCAAAACCCCGATATTTAATGTTAAAATCGAAAATTTAAATATTTGATTTTGAATAATGTCATTTGAAGGTCTAAAAGACTTAGATTTATTAATCAGAGAAGAGATATCATCAATCGATAAAATTGGTAAGATTTCTAATCTATTAAGGTCAAACACATGCATATTAGCTAAAAAATATTGCCCTAATCTTTATTTTATCCATTCTCCTCCACCAACCAACATAAAACACCGTCTAAAACTTCCTTAACACTCCTCATCTCCAAAATTTCATCCACCACCAATTCCAAACCCTACCACCCCAAACCAAATCTAATCATCTTCCAGCCTCAACAGCAAGAGAAAACTCAACTTCCACCATCCCAAAATAACAAGAATCACTCCACAGAATCCAATCTTCTCTATCCCCCCAAAACCCCCATCCTCACTCCATGTACTCCTTCAGTAACCCAGAGCCGTGAAGGTAAGCACTGACTGGGGCTTTAGCTGGGAGAAAGGTTAGATTTGTAGGAAAAATAGTGAAGATGGTCGTAGATCTTAGGAGAATTGGTTCTGATGATGATAATATAGGAAATGGTAGCATGAACATAGAAATTACCAAGAAAGAGGGAATAAAAGGAATGTTTGAAAAATGAAAGAAAAAGCCACTTAGAGAGATCCAAAACCTGACAAGCCCTGATGAAGTAAGATAGAGGCTTAATATATAGGAAGACAGAATAGACTCAAAGGAATATGATGTTTTCTATGAAGTGGAGGAGGAAGAGGAAGAAGTTGATGATTATATAGACAGACTTAATAATTCCAGATCAGGTAAATCTAGCTTCACCCTTTAGATACTCTCAAGAAAAGTTCTCAGAATTCTTTTGGTGTAAAGAGTAAAGATAAGGATCACTTAAAAGTTAAAACTAATTCGAATAATGGTAGCTATCATTTTATTGGCAGCAGTTTTGGCAAAAACTCAATCCCAGCACTAAAGGAGTGAATGAAAGAGAAACAGAAATTACAAAAATCAGATCCAATAGTTTACGAAAACAAAATGTCAGAAGAGGTAAAACTAAACGACACTCTTCAATACAGTCAAGAGCCACAATCATCTGAGAAAGGCGGCCCAGGATCAAAATCGCCTTGCTCTTCTTCGGTTGATGCGAAATCACCTTCAAATATTTCTATCCAAACACTTTTCTCTCAGTTACAATACCTAGAGAAAGCTCCAATAACTTTAAAGGATTTATTCTCTACACCAGTGAATGTGAACGAGCCTGCTCAGCTTCATACTCTATATGAAAAATTTAAGACAGTCCCTAGAGAAGTACTTTTCAAACAATTTGTAATAAATCAGCGGCAGACTATACCAGTAAGGACTCAAAAAGAGGCTCAGGTAATTTCTTTCACACTTTACTAAACATTTTTAACTTCATTTTTGTTCTCAAACCCTATAATTTTTCAAGATTTGTTGCTAATAATCATGATTAAAATGTACATACCCTGGCTTATTAGGCTCAAGTATCTTCTACCTCAGTTCCTATACTACCTCACTTAAATTACAGGTTTCAGACCTAACAACCGAAAATCTCAGATTGAAGCATGAAATCTCAACACTTAAAAATGAAAACGCACGGCTATAAAATATTATGAAAGAGAAAACTCTTCAAAATATTCAAAGGAGCAATATGAGGCACAAATTTCCTTCTTAAAGGAGGAGTATGATAACTTGAAGGATGAGTATGAGAGAATGCAGAAACGGATGAATACATCTCTTCTGCAATCAAATGAGGTCATTACAACCCTCCTTACAGAAATACAGAAAGGAGCGAATAACTCAATGATGTCGTTACATAAGTTGATCTATTCTTTAGAGAATAAGATCTCTGTGCTGGTTAAGAAGGAACAGAAGAACTCTAATAGAGGTTGTAATGAATACGAAGATGGCTCACCACATATACTCAATTGTGTAGATGACATTGGACATCAGATTAAGAACTCCAGTAATACTTTACAGGACACACATGTGTTTTTGAAGCAAGCTTTAAATTCTATCAACAAGTCTTTGTATCAAAAGAAATCTGAATTTCTTGAACCGGAAACTGAAGAATTAGAACACAATTTGATTGATAATGAGAATATCAACCAATTTAGAACTTGTGATAATAATCTCAATTTTTATCCGAACAAAAAGCTTGATGATGACTACTGTATTGAGACTTTTGATTACAACAAAGGAAAAAGAGCATTCAATAGAAGGAAAGCTTCTAAAGATACCAGTAAATCTCCGAGAATTCAGATGAATGCTCAAAATGTCAAGAATAAATATGCAATTCAAGCTGAGAAGTTTTCTTCTAAAGCCCAGAGAAAAAGTCAGCTTCAGCATCCAACAGTGAAAAATCAAGGATCTTTGTATACCCATCGAGGAGCCAGCCCTAATTATGACAACGGTGAGAGCTTGGGTTAATGAATAGCTTACAATACATTTCATGTTCAACACAGTCCTTTCACAATTCAAGGAGGAGGAAGTTATGCAAGCAAAGCTCATTCTCAGCATAATCGGAATGTCAATAAGAGCTATTCTGGAATTTTACGAAATCATGAGGATCCTGCTCAATCCAGAATAACAGGTAGAAATCTATCTAAGCATTCATAGCTTCCGAAATGAAAGGATATAAGGAAAGCAGATTGTACAAGGCGAAAAACCAAGGTAAAACAATCTTTAATTTTTAGACAATGCTTATAGCTCAAAGCCTCGAGCTAATCCCAAAACCCATCGGAAAAGCAAGTCTTACAACACTTCTGGAACAAGAAAGGAGGGTTATTCTGGCTGAAAGATGCAAAATAAGTAATATAACAAGCTAAAATCTAGACAAAATCCTCCGAATTACTCCTCTCTATACAAAAAGGGTAAGAAGAGTATCAACTATCACGAATTATTGCAGCAGATGATTGATGAGCGGAAGACTAAAGGTCACTATTAACCCCACTCTCACCACTAAGTTGTTTCAGAAGCATAATTGCCCTTTCACTACATCCTAGGTACTTCCAGCTTTCGGGCTGCCTCCAGCTCAATTTTATGCAGAAATGAGGGGTTTTGGGGTTTTGGGGTTTTGGGGTTTTGGGG